ATTAGATAATATTATAATATGATTAGATTTCTTCTACATTGGCTTTCCTAGCTTATAATGTTTTTTAAAATAATTTTTACATATTGTTTTCCTATATCCTATAAAACTAGAAATTTGGAATATAAATAAATTTACAGGCATACTTTGGTTTAGGAAGAAACTGTTTAATCAATTTGTTGTCCAATGTCGGAAGGTTTAACAACACATACATCACAACTACTCCTTCCCATAAAATCTAAAGGTATCCTTCCTTCCCTCAGTACTTTCTATTGAAAGCAATTAAATTTCCTATTAACAGTATTTTTTGACTTCCACACTATTTCCATCTTTCAGGAAATATAATTATTAAGTTTTGTAAAGTAGTAAAAAATAATGTTTTAAGTTTTGTCCTTCGATTCTTCACATTTGTTTGCAAGGGCTCTCCTTATGTTTGCAAATATGCACTCGTGCGTTTAAACATTTAAATACACACGCTTGCATACACACACACACTCATACACGCACACCCAAATATGTGCATAATGGGCATTACACAATATTGTTGTGGGCAACCAAACGAAAGCGAAATGTGCGCACACACAACGAACGTTCAAACATTCAAACACTTTGTGGCAAGACGAAGAAGTACATCTCTCCTTCGTTCAGTCAGTCAGTCAGTCAGTCAGTTAGTCAGTCAAGCCAGCAGTCTCTCAGTTTGTACATTAAGTATTAGGCGGGCTCTGCTGCGTTTTAAAGCATTTCGCTAGCTGTCGAAACGAGGGTGGGGCTTAGGGGCGTTGTTGCTGATAAACAAGAATCGATAAAGCCAAACGAGGCGCGAGATGTTTGGCCGTGAGTTTGTCGTTTTTTGTTTGACACTCACACACCCACCCACCACACACACACACACACACACACACACACACACACATACACACACACACACATATACGCACATACTTGAAAGTGGCGCTGGTATGGAGCCAAGGAGGTTCTGAGCCATTGGCTGCCTGCCTGCCTATAAGCGTATTTATTTATACACCTAACAAAAATATGTGGAATTATGCTTAGAAATTTGTCAGTAAAAAATCTGTATCAAGTACATCTTGATTTAAGAGTGTTTTAATTTCGTATCGCCTCAACATTTCTTTGTTACATTAATGGCAAGTTCAGGCACTTACCACTGGGGAATTATTATCCAAAATAGTGAATAAATGCGAGTAATTAGTTTAAAATCTCGAATACTGAGAACGTGCTCCGTTTATTACCTCTTTTAGTTTCTTCCTCTTCCGATTATGTACCTAATTAATCCGTTGGGCTCTTTTGAGAATGAGATTAATGTTGTTTTTTTTTCGACCTAATGTTTTTATACTCTGTACATGAAATGTACAAGAGTATATTAGGTTTGCGGGAGCTGAAAAATGTAACAGGCAGAAGGAGGCGTGGCAGACCCCACAAAGTATATATATTCTTGATCAGCATGACGAGACGAGTCGATCTAGCCCTGTCTGTCTGTCTGTCCGTCTGTCCGTCTGTCCGTCCGTATGAACACCTAGATCTCAGAGACTATAAGAGATAGAGACACCAAATTTTGCACGAAGATGCGTTATGTGTGTATTCTATACGAGTTTGTTTTATTTTTTTGATTTTCCCCCCCACTTCCCCCCTATGGGGGTTTTCCCGATTTTCCATTCGTATAATCGCCTATATCTCGGAGACTATAAGACCTAGGAACACCAAATTTTAGTCCCAGATGCCTTATGTGAATACGCAGAAAATGTATATTTTGGAATTCCCCTCCCTCCCCCCTCTACCCCGCAAATCGTAACTCCCGTAATTCTTGGAATTTCGAACTAAAATTTTGGAAATACCCCCAGTTAGTTATTATGTGTCCGTATGCCAAATTTCATTATGATAGACCGATTTAACAAGAAGTTATAGCCATAAATATATTTGCTGATGCAGCGCTGCTGCAGCGCTGCTCAAGCGCTGCCCGCGGCTGTTGTTGATGTTGCTGTTTGGTTGACTGCGAAAATGCTTACACAGACACGAATAGATGCGCATAGGCATACATACACTCACACAGACGCAATTGCTATGTAAATGTGCAATTATACACCCTTTACGTGAGTTCGAATACCGAGAGAGGTAAAATCGATCAAATTTTTTTTTTTATTTTCTTAATTTTTTTTTTATTTTCTATAATTATTGTAAACATATGTACAGAGTATTTCAAAGTCGGGACACCCGACTTTAGCTTTTTTACTTGTTATATTTATATTTCTTGCCTAAAATTTTAAGTATAGATGGAAAACCAATTTGTTAGATTTCGCCTGAACTTTAGACCTCCCCTTTGTTTTACAGTGTATGGGTGTCTGTATGTAAACAACAATACAAAAGGATACATTGCCGTTGTTATTGTTGTTGTTGCTGTACGCATAACAATGCTAAACATCCCCATCACCTGCCCATCTGAGCTAGTTATAAAAGGGAAAGCATGTGTGCGTTCGAATTCAGGAGAGATAATAGTAAATCAATAAACCCACAACGGAAATTATCAACACCTGTTAAAGATAATTGGCGTAAAATTAAATTATACGTACAAGTATGTACTATACATGCAGACATATGTACGTACATACATATATATCTGGATGCCTGCAAGTCTTGAATGGGCCTCTAAATAATTTATAAACACTTTTTCGGCTAATTGGCTATGAACTCAAAGTTATAGTTGAAATGATAAAAACAAAAATATTTTTCAAAGAGGTATAGCATCCCTAAAAATCCTAAATTAAACCTATATTGCAATAATTATGTACATTTCCAAAAAATATGTATTTTGAATGAACTATCCACAGATATTACAGAAAAATCAAATTATTGTCCCTACATTAGACATTTTATAATTCTTCAAATTCAGAAACTTTTTTTTACAAAAAATACATACCTATATTATTGTTGTAATTTATTATGATCAAGCCAAGGAAATAGCAGTACTGGAATCAGATAATGACTATAGAACTAAAGGTATTTAAAAAGCCAAAATTAATTCAGAATAACGCTATTCACAGATCTCTTCTTAATACATATTACTAAATTTTTTACCTGGATATTTCTGTTCATACTCTGTCGGTTTGACCTTAAAAGGATTGGCTTTGAAGCCACAATAAGAACATCTAAAGAGAAGTTTAGGGATTGCAATGATTTTATCCAAGAATTTTCCGCAAGGAACAAATTGTTTTAAAATAAAGTTCTTACATTTTTCAGATTTGAAAATTCAGGTTTCATTTATTTTAATTTTTTGCAAATTTTAATTTCATTTTGGTTTGTATAGAAAAATATTACAATATTTAGAGTAGCAGGGCTGAGCGAAGGGAAATTTTGGACCTGTTGTTAAATATCAAAATGTGGGAATTTACAAAACGTCTGGTGGAAACTCATAATTATAAAAAGCTCCTGAGGATCAGTGGAATAAAAAGAGAAGTTTTTTCTCCATGCGAAAGATGATACTGCACGCAAATAAAAGGAAAATAAATATCAAAAATAGACATCATAGGTTATTGTTGTTTTTGTTTATGCTAAAATGGTTACAAGGACAACACGATTATGTTTATACGTGCATGTGTGAGTGTGTTGGGCTTGGCAGGGGCGCGGTCTGGTTTGTTTTCATTTGACCTTACGAAATATAAACAGACTTTTGCATTTGCAAAGACTGTTACTGTTTCAAACAGGCAGTCAGGGACGGCGAGAGGAGGCGGACAGGATGAATAGACAAAGCATCGACAATGTTAAACAAAAGGAGGGCCCGGAAAAGATAATGACTGCGTGGCGTGGTTGGGATGAATGGCAAAGGCGAATTGTAAATAACTATAGTAGCTATAGTCGGCAAAGCGATGCAAAATATTGCGCACATCTTTAAATCGAAATTATGCAGATATTTTTATTTGATTTTTAAAAACATATGTAAATATATACAAGTAGGCTATGATCTATTTTCTACTTTTTATATACAACATCAATTTCAATTAGCAAGCCTGCCAAACGCTTTAAACAATTAACAAGCTTAGCGGTGCTTCTCCAGACAATAAACCATTAACCATAAATTTCAACAAACTCGCTGAGTAAGTCATTAAAAAACAACAATTGGTCCAAACAGCTGCCAGCGGGTACAAAAAAAAACTTGTTTAAATATTTAAATAGGTTTTAGGCAACTACTTGCTAGTAATGCCACAGTAAATGTGCATAGCTGATTAAATAATAAACGAATAAAAAGTGAATTATATAAACATGAGTAACAAAAACAAAAAACAACAAATTTATGAACTTAAATTGAAAGTAATTTATCAATTAAAGTGGGACTTACAAATGTTTTAAATGTATCTGTTTGCTTTTAAATATGTTTGCACGCACACTCATAACGCACAATATAAATTGTTAATTAATACAGCTGAAAAATTACAATATTTTCAGCGATTTAATAATTTGACAGAAGAAAACGCGCGCACAACGCAAAAGAACGCGAGCAACTGACAGAGCAGGCCGGTTACACTATTCAACAAAGTGCAAGTAATTTTTGTGCGTACTAACAAAAAATTGTGGCATATAACTGTATGTTAAAAATGAATTTATATATCGTTTTTATTTAAATGATTTCGCGTTATTAAAATAATATTACTTCTTGATTATTTATTGCCATTAAAGAAATAACATATTTGATGAGCGATTTTAACTTAACTATCGTTAGTTTAAATCCTTCTATAAACGATTTGCTAGATTTTCTTTTATTAAAGTAAACAATTGCACTACTTTTAAAAAGCTTTAAACAAATATGCCAATATTTTTAGAAGATATGCATCGAAATGCTTTTTGTTTTAAAAATTTGCTGCTTAGTGATTAAATTGTAGTGCTGAAAAACGCAACAGCCACATTTTAGCTAACACACAAACCCAACTAAAAAACGGGTAACTGTTTCAAGCACTTGACTTATTTTTGGTGTTGTAAAGAGAGCCAATTGTAGCTACCGGTACACAAACAAAAACGATGTTAAGTTTATTGTGACATTGTTGGCGCTTCAACAGTTAAATTGGCTTTGAAAATCAATTACAGTCATTTAAATTTAACTAAATTTACAATTTAAAATTCTAATAGTATAGTGGGATCAATCTACAGCTCTGTGTGGGTTGATGCCTCATGCGTCGGCTCCTTCTCTTTGGGCACAATGTACAGGCCTTCCGATGGGGTCCAGCGTGTGCCATGCTGTGGATTATGTAAACCGACAATTTCCATCTGACCCGAAATAGGTCGGCCATACGAACGGCCCGACATGCCTAGATACGCCCCAGTGTCCACATGACGGAAGCGTACGTGTGCGTCGCGCATCCAACTATCATTGGAGCAGACGACCTCCCAGTGGTCTCCAGTATCGCCCAGGCCAGCTTCACCATAAGCGGAGACTTCCTGTTCGCCAGACAGTGGCGATGAAAAGTGATGTGAATGCAGATTTTTTTTTGTGGTTAAATGCTCCAGACGAATGGTAGAACCACATGCGATGGGCTCGCCACGTTCGCACAGCTTGTTTGTCTGTGCCTTTACCACCCAATGGCTGTTCACATCCTCCTTTTGCTCCACGCCAGTCACCGATTGCTGCCCCGAACCCGATCCATATTTCACATCATGCGAGTGCAGTCGATAGGCATAGTCCGAGTTCAGCAATTTCAATATGGAGCCACAGGTCACAAAATTGGTTTTGTCAGCTGCTGAAACAAAGTAATTATAATTGTTATGATTTTTATCAGTCCAGTTCCATGAGTTTTTGGGGGCGGCAAATGAACGCAATGGCCAGAGCCACGGCCAATCACAGAAGCCCACATATATACACATATACGTACCATTGTTGCAACTCAGACAGCTGAGCAGCGCCAGCCCCATGAGCAGCAGTGTTTGTAGCATCTTAGGTAATTGCTTTGTATGTTATCACTTAAAATAAGTTAAATTCAAAAATTAATCGCAATTTCTTGCCAAAAAAACTAAATTGTCTATGCGGCAAGAGAGCACACGCAAACAAATGATTTTGACAGCGCAGTTGTGTAGTGTTGTAAGCCGGGAGTAATTGTTGTCAGTAATTACAATTTGGGTTGGGCAGCACTGTTCAACGCAGCAGCTGGGCAGCATTGCAAAATTAATCTGCTACAGCAAAAATTAAGTGAAAAAATTGATCTAAAACAAAAATTAATGGCACATAAGCGTTTGTTCATCTACGCTGCATTACTGGCGATATGTTATTTAATTGGCGTGACATGGGTAAGTGTACGGAGTGCAATAAACGCAATTGCGTAGCTATATTAACAAGACGATTATATGTATATTATCATATGTACATATGTATGTACATACATATGATGCATGCCTTTGTCAACAACTACTAAAAAATTAATAACATAGGCTGAGACTGCGACACAACCGCTGGTGCACAGCAATACCAGCATCAGTGAAGCAAATGCGCCGGCAGATGCCAAAGCGGTCACTCCAGCACCGTCTTTCGCATCAAAGGTCATCGGAAGTACGACGGCTACCACAGCCACAAAAAATGGGACCGCAGCAGCTACGCCGGAGTGGTAAGTACGCCGATATATACAGCTAACTGGATAGATCCAATAACTCCCTATCTATATATGTACGCAGTGAATGCGCGGGCGCCTTGCTGCCGCGTGTGGATGGCAATGGCAAGGAGCTTCCAATATGTCCCGAATGTAAATGTTCGCACGTAGCACGCAACACCACTCTGATAAAGGTTAATTATGCAGTTATCATAAAAGAAGCTTGGCTTAGCTGTCTTATACTTCCTAAATGTTTTTGCAGGTCGTTGTCATTATTGTGATTTGGATCATATCCATTTTAGTAATATATATGCTGTTCCTGATGTGTTTGGACCCATTGCTGAATAAACGCGTCAAAGCCAATTATCAGGAGCACACCAATGAAGATGTACATATGAAAAATTCTAAATATGCAGGCATACAATATAGCTTACTAGTCGCAACCACAGCAGATGACGATCATAATGATTATCATGATGATGAACAGAGCTAGTTGGCAATAAAGATGACACCATTTTTATACTCAGCACATAATTTATGCAACAATTTTTGTTTCATTTTTTGTTAAGTTTTCTAACAACACATACACACCCATACACACATTGCAGGCCTTACTAACACCGCTTTGTGGGAATGAGCTTTATAATTTTTCTAATATATATCATATTTACCATTTGCTCACAGGACGAACCTTCGCCACCAATGCCATCGGGGTCAAACAATCAGGAACTGAGCGCTCGTGCCAATGTCTTGAACCGTGTCGGCCACCAGCAGGATAAATGGAAGAGACAAGTGCGCGAACAACGGCGTCACATCTACGATCGCCACACCATGCTGAATTGAACAAAAACGGAATGGGGGCCTGGCGGGCGACTTAAGCAAAGCAAAATGTATTCCAACAATTCTTCTATGTTATCAATGTATCTGTATACCCTTTCTCATTATTTGTATAATTTATATCCTTAACTGCTGGAGAAGACAAATGCGATTGCCTCGGCTTAAAAGATAGTAACTACCGGTGACCAAAAAATATTTTTGGTAAACACAAAATGTATTTTTACTTTTAGTCCAAATTGTAATTTAAATAAAAAATTTAAACAAAGGATAAAGTGTTTTAAAAAAAGTTGAAATAAGTTATCCATCGGATTATTTTTATTGGTTTACAAAACTCGCACATCTGTGTAGCGACTTAATTTACAAATGAATTATATATAGAAAAGCCCCACCACTTCAACACACTTAATAACCCTTGACCATTTTGGCGAAACTCCATTTTTCGTCGACCTGGAAGGGACCCTCAACATCACATTGATTAGATGTTGAATCTTTAACTTTACAAACGCCCACAGTGTATTGAGAACTGTTTTTAGTATCACGATAATACAAAACCTCCATGCATTGACGTATCTAGAAAGAATACAAAACCAAAAGAAGTTAAGTTTGTCTGAAACACACATTGTTCCCAACTCACCAATTCAGAAGCCTCTTCAAGGGTAAAGTCCCGATCTGCGGGCTTTTTCTCTCGCACCAATGGCAAGGCCAAGTGGCGCGCAAATCCTGTAGAGACCACATAATCGGAAAAGGCACGGCCACGCAAATCAACATTGGCCAAATAGGGCTCATTGTTCTCATCAATACCGCCAATTACCACATCGATAAAGAGTGGATTCATGCGTGAGCGACGGTTATAAAGCACACGAGTCATCCATGTAGCCAACGCCTTGGGGCGCATCGCGATGTTATCAGCGTAGCACTGATCTTCAATCATCTTCTGATCGATGCTGCGCATAATGGACTGTATGTCAGCAAAATCGCCACCACCACCCATTATTATGTTGTCGTTTATCTTAAAGATGCGATCGATGTTCTGGAAACGCGATAGCGATCCATATGAGACGAGTGTGTCGGCGGCAATCAAGACGCCTTGGTCGAACTTGATGCCCAATACCGATGAGCCTGTGGTGATCATAGCACTACAACGAAATTAATCAATGAAATCCAGCCGGCATCAATGTCCGCTTTTAGTCACTTACGTGCTGCGCGTAGAGTCTGAATTGTTAGTTTCGTGGCATTGCTTCATATTTCCATTGTTGGCATATCCCGGAAAGTTGTAGAACTGCCCGGGCGAGGGTCCATTATACCAGAGTGGTTGAACAATGCCGTTATTAAACATTGTGCTTTCAGCTGCTATTAACAATACACAAGGAAAAATAAAGCGAATGGAGAATGACAGGCACAAACGCGGCAGTGTTGCTCAATGCCGAAAGTGTAGTTTCAACAAGACAGTCGCAACGGCAGCAGTGCTGGCGAATGTTAAAAGAGCAGTGTTAATAACTGAAACCAACACCAACTCGATAGCCCGCAAGTTCCGATTTTTGCGTATGTGACAACCGATAAATTTCAGTAGCGCCTTGATAAATTTTGAAATTAAATTTTAAACTGCAATTTTTTTTTTAAATTTTGACAGTACATAAATACATTCTTTATTGCCAGTGCGTTAATAAAATACAATGCGCTTTTTTTAAACGGAATGTTTATATGGATTTTGCATCTTTTAGATAGCTAATACAGTCGAATATCAATCATAGTTTTACAACTTGAGCTAAGCTAACAACTAATTAACTTAATCTAAGGAATAAACCCAAATATAGACATTTAACAAGATGGTAGGTATGCATTACATTGTGCCATAATACCCAAAAGCATTTTTTTAACAACTATTTTACGAGCTAGTGTCACGGCCAACGGTTATAGGATTTTGTATAAGAGATGTACACGTATAATAATTAAAGCTTCTTCTTCTTCTGCTAGTCCTTGCAGCAGCAATAAACATTATCGTTTGAGCTAGCTGGCGTCGTGGCTGTGCCACTAACAGTACTAGGGCCTGCGCCTGACTTCCTGGGTTTGTTGTAGGAATGTGGACCACGCATAAACACGTCGATAAGCTGGCAATGCGAGCTGCAGGCAAAAAAATAGATTAAATATTTTAATTTTATAAAATAGTAGTAAGATCCTTTACCTCATTGTGATGTCCAAATCGGTGACAACCTCACCATCACAATTCCAGCTGGAAAACTCATTCAATTGCGTGCTATTAGCATCACTGGGCTCGGTTATGGGTTGGCACGATCCATTAATGCTAAAGCCCTCATCCGGCGATGTAATAGCGGCGGTCAGCGTGCGAAAATTAAATTTTCTCGTCCTATACACCTCCACAAATGGCAAATTGCGCTGCAATTAGTGGATAAGTATAGCGTTAATGTCACACTTAATATTGCCTTCACCCTTCAATTAAAAAATATAAAAATGAACTACTACTTTCAACTTACAATATCTCCATCCCGACCGGCCGTATTCAACAGAAAACGCACATTGTTCAGCAGGGAGGTCTTGCGCACCAATATTAGATCGAGATAGCCATCGCCCAGATGGCTGTAGCGTGAGATGCCGTTGGGACTGCGGGAGCAGGCGCAGGTTATATTGGCGCCGCATATCATAAAGAAATTGCCTTTGATGCTCTTCCATTGGGCTGTGGTGGATGTTGGACTGCCAAAGTTGAGGCTGGAGGTAAGGGACTGGGCACCCTGCAGATTAAGAGTGCGTGGACGCTGGGGTGGCAAGAGAGCTGCATCGCCAGTACTCAGCCGAGGGGTGGCAGCAGGCTGTTCGGTGCTGCCATCATAGGGCAGATTTGGACGTTCTTCCTCATCGTCGTCCGTTTCGCCGCCGGTGCTGCCGAACAATACCGAGGGCTGATCTTGTAGCGAGGCGGCGAAGCTGCAACGCTGACAATTCGCATAGCAGACGGAGGTGTTGCCCACGGAGCAAACACTGAGCGCACGCTGCAGACTCTGAGCACTGGGACTTTGGGGACTCTCGCAGCGTTCCGGTTGCTCCTGCTGTTCCGATCCGTCCTCGTCTAGCAGGAAACGCAACTCGGCCTCGTAGCCACGATTGTTGATGAATGCCTTCACTCCAGTGTACTCGTAACGCTTTGCACCCATCCAGCGGTATTGCTCGCTCTTCGCCGCCACGTCCCCCAAATAGCCATAGCTTAGAATGCTGGCACAGAAACGTAGCAGCGTCTGACTGTTCCTTACGCTGGACACATCCAGGCCACGACGTTGGCCGAGAAGCACGTGGATGGCCGCCGTTCGCACATCCGCCGTACCATGCATGCTGTAGGCAATAGTGTCGGTGCTACCTGCTGGTATTATGCCCACCGGCATCATCGGCTTGGGTATATAAGCCGGTCGTTGCTCATCCAAGCCCAGCTCCCGCATGGTTCGAAATATTAGTCCGTTGATAACTTCTGCCACAGTACCATCGCCGCCGATACAACAGACTGCATCGTAGACGCTCAAATCATGGCTGAGCAATATATCACGTATCTGATTGGCACGCTGCGTGGTAATGCACGTGACATCGATCCCGGCCAGCTGGAAGAGTGGCTTGCAATGCCGTTCGTATGTCTGCAGGCCTGCCTTCCGACCCCCATACGGATTGATGAAGACGAGCAGACGGCGTACCCGCAATCGTCCAGCCGAACAATATAAACGTTCCTTGAGTTGCCGATACCACTGATCCACGATATAGGGATCGGAGTTGTAGAGTGTCAGACGACGGACTTGCCAGCGATTGCAATCTGTGGCTGATTTGAGCAGCCGTTCCGCATAATTTATGGTTAGATACTGTGCCGTGGGCTTGAGAGCCACGGATGTCGATAACTCATTGTTCTCATCCTCACTCGACATCGGCGTGCTGGGAGGTTTGAGCGTCGCCTGTTTGGTGTCCCCCTTTCGCACGTTGATGATGTCGTCCAGATGCAGGACATGACTGTCTGGCCCATAGCAAAGCGTGGAGCTTCCATTGGAAAGTTGATCGCTTTCAGTCTCTGTGGGTATGGGAGAAGAGTAAATTTATTTATGACGTCTGGATTCTATAATTATAACAACTAATGGGGTATCGAGGGCAAAGCTTAACTTCTGGATTATTTAGCCATAAAGAGCTGGGGGAAAAGAAATGAAAGACTTATAATTATTTAACTCCAACTACTCTTTACAAATTATATATACTTTTTACAGGCGAATTAACTACTATTCTTCCCAAAAAGCTGAAAAGACTGCAGCTTTATAACGAATTAGAAATGTTGTCTGTCACCGAAGAGAAGAGACTTTGTACTCTTTATAGCTTTAAAGTCAGGCAATCTGTCGGGTATCATCTGAGGTCGTAGTATTGAAATGAACTTTAGTTTAAACCTAACCGCTTGAGTGTGTTTGTAAAGACGATAGAGGCTAAGACTCATAGGAATTAAGATAGAGATTTGATAGTGTCATGAAAAAGAGAGAAGCGCAACAGAAACTATTTTATTTCAAGCAATTATTGGAGTTAGGGCTTTGAAGCACTATCAATCACCATAGATAAGCTGTTTAAGCTTAAAGAAGATAGCACCTTATAGCTAGCGAGGTAGTTGTTATGAGTAATTCTCCAAACAATGTTTAGTTGATGTGATATGGGAAAGTAGTATGAAAAATTATTTATTTTAAGCAAAAAGAACTGCTTGTCTAACAACAAACTACTTATTAGAAAGGTTAGGCTGGAAAGTTTTTATAGCTTCTAATACTTTAACTATTACAGCATCTCGACTATTATTGTTTGAACTTAAAAAACATTCAACACCTCTCTTTATAACTAGTTTCTGGAAGCGATTTAATTACTTAAGAGTAATTTCTACACAACTTGTTGGGTAGTGAAAGAGGCTATAATTTAATTTAATTAAAGCTAAAAGGCTAAGCTTGTTTTAAATAAAAATAATCAACACCTATGATGCTAATAATAATTAAGTTCACTCACCCTTTGTCTGTGCCCCTGACTGCGATTGCCCTGTGGGCTCTTGTGGCGCTGCTTTGTGCTGCTTCTTGCCGCTTTGTGTCTGCTTGAGGCGCTCCCAAACAAAATGCTGACCATTGAGGAGCACTCTATAGCTTTTCTTCTTAAACTGAAAGTTATTTAAGAGAACATCGATGGACGCAGCATGATTTGGCGGCATCTTTGTAGTCACAGCTGTGGTTGCCTCATGCTGCTGCTTTTTGGCGAATTCTGTGCTGCTGCTTTGCGTCATCTTCGTCGTCGGGGGGGTACAGCGACTGGTACTGTTCCGACAACAACAACGTCGTCTTTGTGGGTACTGTAAAGGCAGCAGCAACAACAACAACAACAATATGAGTAATGAGTTTCAAAAACTGGTTTTCATTAGAAAAATAAAAAAAATAAAAAAGCTTTTGTGTTACTAAAGGTACTAAGCGTTGCGTTGTACGTTCTCTTTTTTCCTTCTAGTTGCTGCAGCCTTTAGTCATTCAAAGCCGAGTCTAAACTGGCTTTGGTCGTTAGCATTACTTTGCTAACATTTCATTGAATACGTGTACGTATTATATGTTAATTTGGGTCAAATTGTTAATTACAAGGCCCTAGAGCTAATGGCGTTCTAAAATGTTATTAATGTCTGATTATTTTTAACTTCAGTGGACCCTGAATTATTCGGACCTTTAACATACATTATCTACAAGTGTTTAAAAGTTTCAGTCAACCTTTACAACAGTTTTCGTATATTTAAATGATTGCAAACAAGATAAACAAACTCCACTGGGCTTTCGTAATTGTCAACAAGAATTTAAACCTGTTTTTTTTTTCCAATACCCGCCAGTAATGTCGGCTGCCAAGTCAAGCTTGTAAATCCATAAAGTACTTTATGACAGGAAAAATTGCAACGCAAATTTGTGGCTTTGCACGCGCTGATAAATAATGTAGTTACATGTTAGCCAGACTAATGTGGTAGACTTAAGCCTTACTACACTAAAACTGCTATTACTGATAAAACTGCTAAATCAGCTGTCGTCGTGCTAGCTCGACTCTTAAACACCCTATCCCCACTCTTCTGCCCTCTAAAGGCTCAGATAGTACAAACAAAAGCAAATAATAAACTTGCTGAAAATATCTTCATAAACAAAATAACTATTGGTACTAAGCTTGATTTCTGCACCGATCGTTCTTAAGACAGCTATAAGATAAAAAATGTTGCTATGCCAAACAAAACTCAAAACCCTACTACGTGGGATTTCTGCACCGATTGTTCCCTTATATATTACTACAAATAATTAGAACGTTTTAAATTATAGGTTATATGAAACATAGTTCTATTTTAATGAAGAAATTATATCAAATCTGCTAAAAATCAGCCGCTTTTATAACTAAGCATTGAACTCATAAATTAAACTGGTTCTAAGCTCACAAAGTTTTTGTGGTTAATTATTTGTTTGCTCTTGTTGGGCTATTTTCTTTCTTTTTAAAACACAAAGAAATTCATATTTGTTTCTTTTTTTGTTTAAGCACAATGAAGCGCATATTTCAGTTTTTAGAATGCGTGAAGAAAAGGCCAAAATGCAAATTAGTTGTGCGAGAAGCGAAGCGAAGCGCGCGCAAAAAAAAAATGTACCTAACAAATATAATACTTGAAGCACAAATTTTGGGTTGCTGCTAATTAGAGGCAAACACAGAAAACCAGAATTCACATACGAGTAAACTAAATATGTTTGTATGTATTTATTATATTCGAGCGCATCTCATAATGAGACACACAGAAAAAGCGAAAAACTCACGCGTCGTATACGTATTGTTCAAGGTTATCAACGTAATGAGAAAAGATGACAGCCAACTCAGACTAAAGTCGAGCTTTAGAATAACGCCAACACCATATACTATACATAGTATAGAGGAAGCTGTACAATATTATTGTCATTCGGAACTTGGAAACGAGTTGGCTGAAACGGGTTCTCGTGCCGAACAGTTGTTGACCTTCGCCTTGAGAGGCTTGAGGCTTACTCTAGTCGGGGCTCGCTAACAACCAACTAAATAGTTGGTTGTGCATGCTAAAAATTTTGTTTAAATAATACATACATGCATCTTGTTTACCTCCAAACAAAGGCAGAGAACAAGCTGTAACTTTTTGCGCATTTCCTGCAGCTGCATTTTCTGTTGAGCTCTTTTTCTGCTCTTGACACCGACATTGTCGGTTTCCGAATCGGTTTTATGAGTTTTTTTACCGGCCCCAAAAGCGATTTGCGGATTCTCGATGGCCTGAACTTGTCACGACCGGTCATTGAAGGTTAATAGCCGTTGAATAAAGTTGCAAAAAGTTACTCGTACATACAACAAACAAAATCAACAATAACTTATCATTAAAAAGAAGGTCGGTTCAATGATTCCTATAAATTGCGAATGTTTTGCGTGTGTCTGTAGACAATACTTCAATTATATTTAGTTTATAGCCGAACTTAAAAGCTAGCAATTTTAAAACGGTGTCCCCATCTACATGTTAGTTGGCGTATTTTCAAATTTTATTTTCACTTTTAAGCATTCATTGTGTGACAATCCAAAAGTTTCACGCCATCAACTAATTATAATTTTTTAATTAATTGTATTTTGTAATGAGTTTTGGCAATGTGTGCCGAGAATTAATTAAATACAGCACCAGCACACGTACGTACACTCAGAGAAATAATGGTTAGGAGAACGTTTTAATAAAATCGAATTACGGTAGCCATTCTTATAAGAGCTAATATTATTTTGGGTCTACAAATAATTCTGTCCCTCCGTAAGGTGCTCGGAAACTATGAAAGTTAGAATAAACAAACTTCGTTTATCAATAAAATTCTAACCACGCATGATGGCTTATTGTTCTACGATTGTAGTAATGATATTCCTATTTCTGAATTACGGGAAAAGTATTAGCTGAGCAAGAAAAATACTCAGGGTCTTCGACATTGGATAAGTGTTTAGAGAAATGCTGTTAAATCAATTCAAGAGCTTCCTTCTATACTGCTGGACTACGATTCGGACAAGAGCGTGCGACTCCTTTTTTTTACAAAACGTTCGCCTTAAGATACAAAAGTATATATCTCTGACATATTCTCCCGAAGAATTTCACTGCAGTGTACATTCAAATGAACTGTAAATTGTTTATAACGAATGAAAATTATCAGCACGAACTTTTCTCAACGCATTTTTCTCGCAGTGTAAAATTTGAATAAACACTTGTGAATCACTTTCAAAGAAAAGCGCTGCAGCTTCTCGTTACGGTAAATATTTGTGCCTTCGCCTCATTATGCTTTTATTAACAGCACAAAAATCAATCATAAATGAAGTGCCAAAAATATTTTTGCCAATTTCCACAGTCCTCAGGTATTGTACAGTTGAAATATTACAGCAGTTTATTTTATAAATTCCATATAAACAGGCTTTAAAGAGACTTAAGCTTATACTTTTAGACTATAAAGAAATATGAGAAAGATATGAATGAAAAATATAAGCAATGAAATAAATAAATGTAAATGTCAGCCGTGGACGAAAAACAAAAATTCATCGAGAACTACACAAGTCGCTGAAGTTTTTTTTATTTATTAAGAACAGTTAAGGTTTCTCCTCCCTAATCTAACTTTTCCAGTGTTAATGCAACTCATTTTTTAACAATCGTCCCCAATTTAACAAATCTTTCATAAAGATATAAGCACAACAAAGCAATATATCTTCCATAAAATAGAGCTATACAGAGAAAAGAGAGTTTATACAATATATTATATATATATTTAATAAATTTTTATTGAAGATAGGGAGAGAGCGGAAGAGCAATAATCAGTGGCACCAGCGTTCTGGCACGCATTTCAGAGCAACGCTAAGCGGAAAGCGCCAATTACTGGAACCTGACGAGGGTGTAAGATTTGCTGCCGGCTGGGGGCACGATAATCATTATTGTTGTCGACACTTTAGCTTTGATTCTTGCAAAGGGTGTTTATTAAACAAATTGGGTCTTTTGTTTAGATAGAAACTCATTATTTTGCTGAACAACAGTGAGAGCATTGCGTTGCCAAAGCACGCAAGCAAAATTATTTTTGTATTTATTAAACGCGATAATTGCTAGCAATTCATTTGATAAGAACACTGTGACTAACAACTGTTTAAATTGAATAATATTCGTTAACTTGAAATGGTTGTAAACTAAACTACAAGTACATACTATATAGTCTTTAATTCATTAGCCTGAAGCCGCTTATATTCTTTATGATTTTATGGAGGCACGTATTTATATGGCTGAGAGGCAAAAACCATAACAACCAAGTGCTTCAGTACTTGTACGCGAAGAAACATTTCTTATCTAAAAATAAATGGAAAGAAAAGTGCCAGCATGACAAGCCGTTATCAGTTAATCAATATATAACACCAGAAAATACTGATAAGTTACGACTGATGACTATGTTGTGCCGAACCAAAGGTGAAATATTGACATATGACTCCAGATACTGGCGATGTTAACTGGTAATTCTACCTATTTACGTACGTAACGCCCTTTAAATAAACATTTCTATGCAATTAAGTCCCAATAGTTCAAGTACACTCAGTTCGTGCTCTTCACTTTTCATGTCTGTCTCAGGTAAAAAAGCTTGTATATCTGCTGGTGGGTGAAAACGAAATGGGCTTTGATGTTGTTGCCTTTTATCGAAGCGGCCATAAATACATATGATATACACATGTACATACAAATACTTGTTTCTTTTTACAATGGGACGAATTTGAATTTTCAGGCCACAAACTTACTTGCTTTCGATACCTATTCGTATTATATATGGTAGCCCTCATTTAAGTTTCCCTTGCCACCAACTCATTTATCAAAAGTTTTGAAAAATATTTAAAAAATCTGAAGCGCTTGGCAATAGAGTATTTCAAGTATTTCTTAAAGCCATAACGTCTTTCTATTTTAAATTAATTGACAATGGTTTTTTACTTATTACCGGCTTACCTAAAAGAATACTTTATTTTTTTGTCATTACATACCTCATGAAGCATTATTCCCTCTTATGTTAATTTCGAATTTGTTGAACAATGAAAAATAAAATAATATTACTGGACGGCCTACTATTGTATTAAAACATTTGTTTAAAACGGAAAAAGGTATTTATTTCAGATCTTGAGGTCTTGAGCAAAAATAATAGGAATAATAGGAAGAAAAAACAAAAGTCAAATGCCGGCAATATAAGCGTCATAACATTTACATTTATTTATGGCTTAACTGAATTGGTTCAGTAGCTATATCTTCGAAAGTATTTAAGCTGTAAATATATTTAACACAACAGTACTGTTCTTCCTTGATAATTTGGTTTGAATTACTTAAAATGTGGGATAGTAGTAACTTTAATATAACTGAAATTATTTTTCTATCAATTGAAATTTTGATATACATTTATATACATTTAAATAATGGATTGATTGACTGTCTCATAGATTCGGAGTGTAATCAAATTTCGAACCATTTCAAGTGGGAGCGATAATTCAAAAAAAAAAAAAAAAACGGTTCAAAGTAAATCTATATATAAATTTGGTAGAAGATCTAAATAAATAATTTATATCAAAAAACAAAAAATAAAAGCAAAACGTACATTCTTTTTATTATTACAATGTCCATTATGCAATGCCTAGGCACTGGGTACTTTTTTTTTATTATATTGATTTGTAATATACGACCATATATGTAACATTTAGTAAAAGTACAAATGTTTATTGCTGCCACTAGAACTGATAATAAGAAAAGATAAAGGCAGTTGCACTTAAGACTCCATAGATACGTGCCAGTGCGGGCATTGACAAAGTTTCGCGTGCAACTTTTAGCTTTTATAATTTATTAAAAAATGGCCATAACGAAAACTTGACCCGCTTTGATATCAGAACTAATTACCCGCCTAGACAGCAACTTCTGACCTTTTCAGGTCTACACGCAAGCCGTAAATATAGAGCAATGCTCTTTATGACGTGTCTGCGAAAACGAAGCAATAACAAAACCGGCTACTAACGCAAGCTATGTACATACATATGTATATATATATATATATATGGACGACGAAATTGAAAAATATTTGTGCGCATGTGCAGGCAAAGTCAAAAATATACAAATTTAATAAAGTGGCCCTTTTTTTGTGCACAGAACAGCTGTAAACAAAAAAAAACAGATGATGCCCCCAGCGAGTACAGGCGCACTCGCCCACACACACACATCCAAATATGCATACATACACACACATGCATGCAAAAGTATGCGGGTGGCCCTGTCCCCCTACACATTCACACACAACACACTCTCTGGAACATAATACGTAAAGCGCAGTTATCAGTTAACACAGCTGCTTCAGAAACAACAAAACAATTCTGTATCCACATCCATACATACATATGTATAAATATATTTTTTGTGTGTGTATTGAAAGTAAAATTATTTTCAATAACTGTAATGCATTACTCTGTAATTGACTTTTAAAGTTGTTCAACAAGAATTTTGCAATAGAATATAATTTATTTGTGAATACCTGCTGTATATCCGTTTATCCATAAAAGTGAATGTCGTTTACTGTTTGTTTGTTTGTTACGTTTTATTCAACGACTTTGTTGCATTTTTTGCAGTTGTTGTAGTTGCTGCAACATCAAGAAAATTCCACATACATTGCACTTTTCATGCACACAAATCGCAACTACAAGAAGTAAGCAAGCAGAAAATTGCTTACGCGTACATCTGCTAACGGTGTTTTTGCAAAAGAATGTATTGTCAACTAAAAGTCCGCACCAACACCCGCTTAGAATTGGCAATAAACAATAATAACTATGCACAAAGCACACTACCAACACCAAATAATTAAGCAGACGGAGCCGTTACATGCGACGAACGAGTACCGACAAACCAACCGACGCGCGTGCTTTCAGTTAATAAACTGAAACGACTAGCAAAACTTGACTAGAGATGTGGCTCAGCAACGATAACTTTAAACTATCGATATAACTGCGGGGAACAGTATAAGCCAGTGACGAAAACGCACCACAGGCATGCAAGACTAAATTATATTAGAAATAAATTGTAAAATAGTAAGAATAATAGTTTGAAAAAATATAACACAGTTTTAATAGGTGCATAATAAGCCTTTTTGCATGAGTAAAGTTGTGCTTTTTGGTTAACCCTTAGAAAAAAGATTTACATACACAAACTTTTAAAAATCTTGAATTTTGTATAGAAAAAAATATATTAATTATCTCTTGCTTAAATTGCTTTACATTTTAATGATTAAATTTAATAATAATATTTACAAACAGTTAGTTCAATTGATTAGTTGGTAAACAACTATTTCGAATTCTCGAATTTTCTTCTCACAAATATGTATGTACATATGTATCTTACATTGCAGAAGAATGAACCAACAGGAAAAGAAAAGCCAATAAAGGGGTGGGCAGTTTCTCTTTAAACAGTTTCACCTACAATTTGAATTATAAAAAGTCGTAAACCTGCCAAGGTATTAATGGTAAATGCTCGCACATTTGGCAGCTATTGAAGGTTGGAAAATTTGAAATGTTATATTATAGAGAATTTAATAATGCTGCCACCTGTCTGGCTTCAATTACGTACATTTTTCTCTCTGGAAATGTCAGTTTAGTTATTTCAGTGCAATATATTGGCATGGGTAGGCGGAGATTCCCTAGAATTATATCGAAATATACAATCAAAAGACACCTTCCAATTTACAGGCAAACAGGACAATCCTTGTCCATGTGGTAATCCGAAATCCTGTTGTTGCACTGAGAAGCAATGTAGTAGGAAGGCCACCAAAACCGAACCGGAACGTGTTCCGTGCAAGTGTGGGGCTAAAGCGGAACCCGAACAAACGGAAACTAAATGTAACCCTAAAACTGAGAAGTCACGAAAACGAAGCAAAAAGTGCTGTTTAATTTCCTAAATTCAAGCGATTACTTATTTAGAATTTCAAATCGAAATGTCAAAATACTGTGCTGCCCTTTTTTGTCGAAAATTCTGTGTATAAATTTGCCGGCTAAAAATGAGTAAGTACGCCCGTATATTACGTAAATGCAACCTCACTGACGCACACTGTTGAGCTCAGGTAAGCCTGGCTGTGGGAAGTGCGAAGCCTGCCCCTGCGGAAGTTCCAAGGCAGGTGGAAGTGGCAACAACACTAGCGGCCGCGCCGGCTGCGATTGCAAAGCCGGTCCCAGCACAGGTACGAACACGCCCAGGTCTGCAGCATGTAGCACGGATAAGCCCCGGGTGCACAGCCCAAAGATTGATTGCATGTGCAAGCCAGTCCGACAAAAGGAAGAGGAATGTGCCGATCACTACACCTGCAGCAGACAACGTCCCCAACCGCCACAGCTGGACTTGCAATGTAACTGTAAAGAAAAACCGAAGATAGAGTGCGCCTGTCCTAAAGAGCCGCCAGTCCCCAAGTGTCCTCCCAAAGAACCAACGCATGAGTGTGTCGAGTGTGGTACCGAAAAATGTGACTTTAAACCGAACTATAATGCTCCCGGTCTGGGCAACTGTGGACACTGTAGCGCGACAAACAAAAGAAAAAAGAAGGGCTGTTCCATACAATGATCGGAGGGACTAACAATATAAATCCCGAAAAAGCGCGTTAAGGCGGCAAAGCACGGCAAATTCAGGCATTACTCTATTCAAAATTTCCCGTAACCCATTATACTTACGAAACTCCTACCCACCAACCAAAACTTATATAAAGAAAGAAATAAACTAATTAAAGTCAGGACTACAATATGCAATTTGTTTTAGATGGGATGGGTTGAAGGAAGCGAGAGTTGGGACTGTCCAAGACTGGACGATGTTCTTTTAACCTGCGGATTATTAGAAAGGTGGGATGTGAGGCGAGGTATTTAATTAATATATTGTAGGTAAACTCAAGAGGCAAGGCAGGCAGGAGTATTCAGATAAGGTTCATAGATAGACTCTCATAGATCGTACCCCCGAATTTAACACAGCAGGCTCCGGTTGCGAAATTCATCTCCTTTTCAACATCATACACATTTAGTACAGTACAAAAACAATTTAAACATTCAGTTGAAACATCTGTTGGCCCATTCTGTATATGTGTGGGTGTGAAGCGTGGTGCGAGCCGTTCCAACACCAACAGTCTGTCTATGTCTCGAAGATCGGAATCAGCATCAAGAACATCACGTACTTCGCGTACCTCACGTGCCTCACGTATCTCACGTCCCTCAACTTCTTCAGCTGTGTCACGCACACAAGGACGAACTGCAACATGTCCTGCCCCAAAAGATACAACCGATTGTGCTCAGTGTGGTGCAAACAGTTGTGACTATAAACCACACTATAATGCTCCGGTTTTGGGTTCCTGTGGGCAGTGCCATGTGAGGCAGAAGAGAAAACGGGGTTGTTCCATACAGTAATCAGGATAGCCAGCAGCAAGACGAAGAAGAAGCACTGTAACTGAAATTCTATTAAAATTTTCCGTAAACCACTAAGCGACTATGCCACAAAAATAAACCAATCAATATCAGATATCGCACTTCTCAAAAACAGATTTTCACTAGATAAAAAGGGAAGATGATCAAAATGTAGCATTTCAGAGATTTATAATTGTACCTAGAAGAAAGCTTTTACTCCTCTTCATTCCCATTTTAGAATGGCTAAGGATGACAAAGAAACTTCACCATAAGTTTCAACAGTCATCCAGTTCGCCAGAACTATAGATTTCTTTGAGTTAAAGGCGAAAAATACAACTTTCCGCACATTAGTTGTCCTTTTTAAGTTGAAAAAAGTTGATGATTCAGTAGATGGTCATGTCCACGTCTGCTGCAAAGGCTACCTTATCGAAATTGTTGACCCAAATTTACTGATACCAAGTCAGATTCCATAATGTATGTATGTATATGTATGTATGTATGGGCTGTCACTTTTTTCTTTAGTAAAATTTGAATACAGCAGGCACAGTACAAAATTTGTCATCTTTCCAATATAACACACATGTAGGTTTATAAAAAAATCACCAGAATTCTTTTGAAACATCTGTTGACGCAGTCTGCGTCCGTGTGGTGTACCTTTCCGTGTTAAATTCCCTTCCCACACCAACCGGCCATATGTCTCGAAGATCTCAGTCAGGTTCCAGAACACCCCACGGTGTGGGCAGGGGTTGCGATTGCAGGGCAACCCCGTCGAAGACTACCTCAAGCGCAACTGCCTTGGCCAGGACATGTCCGGGAGTGCCAATGGGTTCGTTGGCTGCATCACAGCAACAGGAGCGGATCTCAATTAAATGCGGCGATCCAATACCAGGCATTCACAAATCTTTTGACGTGCCCGATTGTAGGAAGAGCAACGCCTGTACCCACTGCCGTAGTGCCAGAAAGAAGAAGAAGAATAAGTGTAGCATTCAGTAAAGGTAGTAAACAATGGCTGGAGACAGTCACCAACGAAACGAAGTCGAACAAACAGTCGGATGAGAAAGCACAAGGACTCCTGAAGAGTCATCTCTTCGAGGCGTTTGTCCACTAGAAAGCACGTGTGGGTTTCCAACTGATTTCGAAGCAACCAATCGGAGGGCTATGCAGAGCTCATCATAGCAGGCGAGGTGCTCACGGACACAAAAATGAAACACTGCAGCATTTTGATTTTTAGCCTAATACAAAATTATCAGTTATCCCTTGAATTTCGTCAGGGATTCAATCCAAGAGGCCAACTCAAAAGACAATAAACCAAATGTGATTGCTAATGGGCAAGTAGTAATCACTTGAACTAAAACAACATGCCACCTGTGTTTGATTTCCTCTCACTCCCAACATCTCTCATCACTTTTAGGCACTGCCTATAGCTCCCGCAGGTCGACACCACGCTACGGGTACGGGTGCAACCGGCGATCACAGCAACCGTATGATAACTTTCCGGCGAAGCAGTACAGCCATGGACCGCATCTGGTGCGACGAAAATCGCGTGCTCTGGGCTGGATAGCCTTTCCGGCAGATAGAAACGCCGCAGGACCAGCCAACTGTATGCCAACTATATCGGGCAGAGGAGGCAACCCCCAGCCATGCTGTTGTGCAATGCCACAGACGGGTTGGCAGGATGCCGCAGCAATGCAGTGCTGCTGCTCTCCAATGCCGCCGTTCATGATGGGGGATCAGTATGCAGAAATACAATGCTGCTGCTATCCGCCAACAGATCTCGCACAACAACAATTTAATTCAGGATTTGTTTACCCAACGCCTGCACCTCACCAATCCATGGACCGTTCATTCTGCGCTTCGGGACGTAAGAACTCAAAGGCCCGCAGCTTTTCCTCAAAACGTTGCAAGACAAAAGACAAATGCGCACCCTGTGCGTATCCATTGCCTGCGATCGCTTGTCCCTATTACCCACCCGGAGGCAATGGTGCGTCAATGGGCGGCGAAAAAGTTGCCTGCGCTCCGTCCACACAAGCACAGGGCGTACCGCCCTGCAGCTGTGATAGCGAAAGACCACCGCAAAATAATGTGTCCTTTTCTTCCGGCGCATCGTGCGCGGAGCCAGGCAGGCGTGGACGCTGTGACAATGATTCTGATAGATCCGGTCCACACTTTGCCCAGACAAAAGCGCCAATAGGTCGCAATATAGTGGTACGCACATCCATCAATTACGAGCCGAACGATGAACTCTGCAGTAACACAAGCAGTTGCACACCTCGTCAGTCCAATAGGGGGGGTACTAGGATCATTAAATGTCCATATCGTTGACGTAAAGCAAGCAGATCTCTGACAGAAAGTAAACCCCAGAATTACAATGCAGGTTTCTTGAGCGTCCATAAAATAAATGTCCACGAAATGAATAAAACGGATAACACCAATAATAATAGTATTTATAATTTAATGCTTTCGTCACTAGCGTGAACACAGTCGATATTGACTTCTAACAGCTTTAATCGAAGTGGCAGCACTTCTTTTTAGCGCAGCTAACACTGTTTCAACACTATACTGAACTGAATTCCATTGTGAACCAGCTCCTGAAACCTAGAGCGTGTTCAAGAAGAAGCATAGGTGGCGTGCAGGAAATTTTATTTTTTTTATTATTAGCGAATTTTAAGAAATAACTTATTTTAAACGCAATGGATGACGTAGATTACGATAATGATGAGTAAGTATTAAAGTACAATTTTATTTCTTAGCAGAAAGTATAATTTGCATATTACAGTGTTGGTGGCGACGACTTCGACGATGCGGATGAGGACGAGAATATTGACGACATCAATCAGGAGGAAGAAGTCGACAATATTGAGATCATTGCGCCCGGCAATGCGGGTGGTGGAGTACCGAAATCAAAACGAATAACCACCAAGTATATGACGAAATATGAACGTGCTCGTGTTTTGGGCACACGTGCCCTCCAAATAGCGATGTGTGCGCCGATTATGGTGGAGTTGGACGGCGAAACCGATCCGTTGCAGATTGCGATGAAGGAGCTAAAGCAAAAAAAGATTCCGATCATTATACGCCGCTACCTGCCCGATCACTCCTACGAGGATTGGAGCATTGACGAACTCATTATGGTGGACAATTGAGACCACTTCATTGGGGGATTTAATAGTAATAAGTATGGGGTGGGTTTTACAAAAACAATTAAAACGCGTTTATTATGCCGCATAAATGTGTGTACAATTTAAATGTAGCATTGCGTCAGCTCCAGGCATAACCCTCGCCACGTTGGTAACAGACGCGCTCCAACAAACTGACAGCATCCAGGCCTGTGCGACAAATAGCGCCCACCACAGACGGTAACAGACCACATTCAGATAGGTTCTGCTCCCCAAAAACGTTGTCGGCGCCCTCGGCAGCACTGGCCTCTGGCGCCACCGACCCAAGCAGTTTCTGTGTGGCTTTGCTGAAGGCGAGAGTATTGGTGTTGCTGGCTAGTGTGGCACTAAATACTTGACGCGTCTCGCAGAGAAGCGTCGCCACGCTGGGCAGGAATGTGGGCAGAAGTAGACCCTTTACATCGATACTGCAGTAGTCCACGCCATCGAGACGCACCTTTTTCGAACGTGGCACCAAATGTTGCATCGTTGCTTTGGGGAAGGCGACGGGTGCGAGCAGTGTGGGCGGCACTCCAGCCAAACGACCGACACTATTGATAGTGCTCTTCGCATTCAGGAGATAACTGAAGAAGCCCTGACATTCCACGCCCTCGATTAGCAACAGCGAATTGTCGCTAAAATCCTCAGTCATTTCTGCAGCTTTCAACTTTCGCGCGTGCGTCGTCTGTATGCGTCGTAATTCGCGCTCATCTACGCCCAAGCTTTCTAGCCAGGCCTCATCATCCTCCTCCTCGTCGGCTTTCGGTTCGCTTTTGGTGGTTTCTGGTTCAACTTTAGCATCGTTGGTGTCTTCATTAAAGCTGTTCTCACCGGACTTGTTCAGAATACCGCCTGTCGCATCCAATTTCAACGGCATGCTGAACTCAATACCCTCCTGGCGCAGCGCATGACGCATGCCTCGTGTGGAAGGTGTGACTAAAGCGTGGGTTTCTGCGATTCCGCCGGTGCCCGCAGCTCGAAACAGCACCGTAAACATGTTGGCGCAAAGATAGAAATATGGACATTGCCTGGCACGCAACAACTGAAACAATCCACGGAAACTGTAGTCCCACTCCTCAGCTAGCGCCTTGCGTTCTCGTTCCCCCACCGTGACGCCAATGTTCTCTTTACTGTTACGCGGAAATAGAGTCAGCCACGGCAGATGCGGATGCTGCCAATAATAGGTGCACTGATTGAAGCGTGTGGCATCGGAGATGTCCAGTGTCGTCTCCGTCTGCTGCATATCGATACAGCGCACAAAGCTAGTCAGTCCACTAGCCAGTTGGGACGTCTTCAGTTGCGTGGCAGGCAGCTCTGTGGGACAAAAGAAACGCGCTCGCGTCTTTATACACCAATCGATGGGCAGATGAAGTGTGTGCTTTTGTTGGGAAGCCAGTGCGGCATCATCTTCTTCATCGGCCTGTGCGAAATTTGTCTGATGCAGCAGCTTTGCAAAGGCTTGAGCATCGAATTTTTGAAGCACTAATTTTGCTGGTGGGGGTCTCGTTGGCGTCTCTTTTACGAAACTAGTTGCCAGGCAGTTGGGTGTGGATGTTGCCATGGACTCTGCATCGGTGGACTCCTCGGTTTTCTGTTTCTTCGCACCATCTGTGGATCTATCAATTTTGAATAAGTAAAGCATTTATATGGGATCAGAATTACCACTCACTTGGCAAAAGGATTTTTGCGTTTCTGGGCAATTTTGGCTTCCAACAATTTAGATCTATCATTCTCATCTAATTCGGGTCGCCTAATGTTGTTGTTGTTCACACGTGCGGCCAACTGCTTTTTCTTTTGTTTCAATCTTTGTAGCTTTATAAACTGCAAATGAATGAGGAAAAATAGGTCATTAAAATTGACCGCATAAGCATATTTTTTTTTTCGACTCCAACGCACATCATCTGGACGTGTCCACTTGGCATTCAAGCCGGCTTCGCTCGACATTTTGGAATTGGAATGCAAGCCCCTGTTTGCATAAATTAATTAATAAATAAAATTGGCTAAAATAAACTCTGAAGACTGTTCCCGCGCAAATTCCTGGATTTGTTGTTGTTTTGAAAGTGAAACACAACTAAGTGCTGGAAAGTGCGAAACAGTTCTGGCATGAAAGTGGCTAAGAATGTATGTATGCATGTATGTGTGTATGCATACATATATGTATCAATTGGGGTCCAGGCACACATAAAAATTGGTTATGTGAGAAAAGCTGATGTACAATATAAAATTATTTTACAAAGAATATTAAACTAAATAGGTAAAATATTTAAAAACAATATTTACTATACTTAACTATATAGTACAGACACACATATTTGTGGTTATTTTCATATTAAATAAATGTATAACATAGCTCATACCTAATTGTAATGAGAAATTTAAATTGATTTAAATTAGTTATTTCATTATTCAAATTAACGCATCAATAATAATTCATACATCTTATGTAATAAAAAAAATATTAAATTAATCGAAGATATGTATGTACATAGTCGAATATTTGGCTAGCCTATAATTATCCTTATAATATATATTTTCTATAAAAACACAAGCATGTTGAAATAATTTTTGCTTTGCACGATCTCACAATTTAAAGACGCGCTTATACATTTTTTTTTGTGTACACGCCCGTTTTCCAACATGAGCCAGTGCTGGAAAGGGCAATGGGGAAACAATGCTCTTCTTCATACTGCATTAAACAGCTGTTAGGCATATTTTGGATGAAACGCGAATTACACTAAAAAAATACAAACGCTTTGGGAGTAAAAATGCTTTTGGAGAATGTATGTCGGATTTGCGCAAACACCATAAAGGATATGGAGCGTTCACGCAATCTTTTTACAACGTCGCGTGGTAAATTGCTCCTTCAACTATCATTAATTACGGGCGTGCAGGTATTTTTGGCAACAAAAATGAGCATTCCATATACATAAATAATTCATACAAATTTGTTTCAATTTCAGTTGACGAAACAGAAAAACATGCCAGAACGCGCCTGCGAGAGATGTAACTCCGAATTGGAGCTAGCGATGAAGTTCCGGGAACGTTGCATTTTCTCGCAAAAGTATTTGAACGAAATCTTGAAGAAGGAGCGCGTCAAACAAGGGCAACATTTAAGAGTAGAATCCGATGAGCCAGACATGGAAAATATTGAGAAAACCGAAAGAACTGATGATAAAAAATCAATTATGGAAAATGGTGAAGTGCTGACTGAGCCGGAAATGAGCGATAATTCTGTTCGAACTACAGACGAAGTGGAAGCGGCGCTCGTAGAAGAAGCACAGCTGGCGGAAAGCCATTTGGAGGAGCTGGAAAAACAGACACATAATCCGCCAGAACGCCGGCCAAATTTCTACATATGCCAACAATGCGGAAAATACTTTGGTGACCAAAAAAAATACAAGTCGCATTTGATACAGCACACCCAGGCTGGCAAGAAAATAGAATGTAATTTATGTCCTCAGACCTTTGCCAGCAAATTGCTGCTAAAACAGCATCAGAAAACCCATTGTACCGATCGACGACACAAATGCAAAAAATGTGGGCGCTGTTTTGCAGAAATCGGAGCTTATCGGCGACACGAGAAGTAAACATTTTGTATAAGAAAGCGATTAATATTGAAACTAAGTTTCTGTTACTATTATAGAGCGCATGCGAATGAGCGGCCGTATCCTTGTCTGGAATGTGAGAAGAACTTTGAGAGTAGCGAAGAATTGAAAAAGCATGCAACCTCCCACGTGTTTCGGTAAGTACTTCTAGGCTTTATTCCGAATATATCACTGTGTTTTCTTCAGCTGCGAGCCTTGCAATAAGGATTTTGGCGTTCGGGATGATTTGTTAGCACACTCAAATACCCTGCCACACAAACGTAATGTGCAGCAAATGCAAATGGAGATCGATTTTTTGTGTGCTGAGGATGATAATGGCGTGGCTAGTAATTCATAGACTGAATTAAATTCTCCATGCCTTTATATAGGTGCTACATTTATCGTTCAAATTGAACGTCCTTTATTTAAAATAAAGACTTTAACCTAAGTAGTGGATCGATTAAGTTTTTGTATGTATATTTGTAGATTAAATGAATCCATATTTAAATTTTAACATCGCATTAACAGTAACTTAATTTTAACAGTTCTATGTTAGTTAACAGTGCTATACAGCTTTCATAGCCTGCTCATGCGCCTTGAAGGCTACCATCTTATCACTTCTTTAGCTTAAATACATATATATGTGAGAGTGTAAATGCAGTTTTGTGTATTCTGTATAATCAACTGGTTGTCTCCACATCGGTCTAACATTATTATACATACCCGCATAGCGATACGTCAGCAAGCCACCTAAGCAGCTGCAAGCCAAAAAAAAATCAATAAACTTGCCACACACCCACGCAACAAACGTGCGAAATTGTGTAAAGAACAACTACGCAATATGTTGGAAAAGTCAAAGTGTAAGTGCTTAGAAAACACAGAAAATGCTTTGAAAATTTATATTTTTTTATATTTTAGCTTTAATGATGCTGCTTTGTGGTTTGCTGCTCTTAGGCAGCGGCGTTGTGCGCGCCTTTGAGTCGAAGGACAGCATTTTTGCTGACGTCCTGCTGACTGACCTGCTCAATCGCATGGCTAATGACATGCAGGTGGGTTACTATGATGTGGACAATGAGTCCGATTTGGCAGCTGCTGCCGCCGCTGCAAAGGATAATGTCGATTTGGTTTCACGCTCCGAGTACCCGAATTTGTGTGATGGCGATGGCAGCACCGATTGTGTGTTGCAGTCTTCCAATCCGGCACTGCGTGATCAGGAATTTCTGCAGCACAGCTCGCTCTGGGGCCATCAGTATGTGTCGGGTGGCATGGGTGAGGTGCCAAATCGATATAACACCATTGTGAAGACCGATGCCAGTCTGCCCGCCTACTGCAATCCGCCCAATCCCTGCCCCGAGGGCTATGACATGGATCTGCCCGGCAGCTGCATCGCCGATTTCGAGAATACCGCCATTTTCAGTCGGGAATTCCAAGCTGCTCAGGATTGTACCTGCGATAGTGAACATATGTTTGATTGCGCCGACCAAGAAAGCTCTGCTTCGAGCAACAGCGACATGGATTCAGCCGTAGAGAAGTTCCTCATGCATCAGTTTCAGAACGATAATGTCCTTGATAGTGCCAACAGCGTTGTTAAGAAGGCTTTCAAGCCAGACTTGCGCATGGAGGCTATGATCAATCCGTTCCTACAGGGCGATCGTTTGCCCATTGCCGCCAAAAAAGGCAACATGCTGTTCCATTAAGTTAAGAGCCGTCAGCAAAAATAGACGAAAAAGTGTTTGTGTTTTATTTTCGTTGCCTAACTTAACAAAATGAATAACTGAATTGTTTTAAAAAGTGTAACAACCACACATAGATACTAAAAGCTCAAAGTATTCCCCAGCATGCGTCTATAATATATGTATGTATTTAGTGTACATTTAAATCTTAGTGTTGTTCTACATAAACTGCATACTAAATACATAATACTTTTATCTTAAACGAATGCTAAGAGCTTCCCCAAAAACAAAAAAATAAATATACATTTGTGTCCCCCCAATAAAAATATACATATTAAAGAAGGGCTTAGAGCCGAAAAACAATTTGATCTTTTTCGTTTGTATAGTTACAAGTGTTTTTTACGGAGTTAGGTCTTTCAGACAATATATCTTAAAATTCTTCATAATGTTTAAAGTTAATGAACTTCCACCGCTAAAGCTGAAGTTAATAATAAAATAAGTTAGAGTTAATCGCCCATTACCAATATTCCTTTTTCCATAATTTAATAATGCAACACTTTTAATTTATCATCGCATTTTATATTTATTTTATATCAAAAAATTTACAAAACTCTAGAAAATTTTAGTTATTTAAGTACTACGGCAGCGATACATATATAGGTATATATGTATGCTTAAATAGGTAATTCCATTTTTGGAAATCCACGCATCAGCTCTATACTGAGTATTACAAGTCATCATACACTGGCATTGTGCTTGGCCCCCCTGATCTGTTTCCACAGCAAGGGGCGTACAACAATTGTTTCTTAAATATAACCTAACAAATGATATACATGCATGTACATGAATGAAAACGTTGTCTTACATTTTGTTTCTTCACATTAAACACCATTGGCAGTGTGATTAGCTAAGCATAATGTTCGTTGTGTGTTGACAAATTGGGGCGATAGATCGCGTCCTATTGCCATATATACAAATTAATGTTGACTATGACTCTAAAAGAAAGAAGGCAGCTTTTTTTTTGAGACAGACTTGAAGAGTTGCTGAAATTGAAATTGCTAGCTTAGCCCTATTTATATATATAGTATGTATATAGCTAGGTATAGTTTACAAACGTCCCGTATTACTACTGCTAGTGTTTTGACTCCAGGATACTTGAGGATGCGGATTGCGTGTGGTCAAACGCAAAGAGTTTCTATCGCCGTCTTCGTCGAGCACATGCTCGTAACCCTGATTAATGGTACCACCACCATTGGACCCATAAATTTGCTGCAAATATTCCCAGAAATTACAACATATAAATATGTTTATAAAAGTGGTATTTCAATTCATACCTCGACGGGTCCACCATTGACATTGAATACATCCTTGATGCTAATGCCGGCATTGGAAACGCGTCCACTTCGATGATTGGGCAACGCTCCATTGTTGTTCAGCTGTTCGAAGTCAAAAATGTTAGGCCTAATTAAATACTTTAATTAGGTACTTACCACAGCCGATGTTGTTATGCCATATTCGTTCTTAGCCCCCAACGTTTGCATCGTCGACTTTCGGCGTTCCGCCATAACAGAATTCTTTCGCACCTCCAGAGCTCGAATGGTCTCGGCACGCATGGTTAGGCGACGCGTTAAAATGGGCGTAGCTGTGGATCAGTCGAAAAATTTAAATTTAAAATGAGCTTATTAGATGGGTAAACCTCTTTCTTGCCATCTACTTAAGATTATTTGAAAACTGTATTAGAGACCGATATGAAATCAGAAATTCAACATTTTTGTGGCTATCTTGTCTAAGCTTTGCCATCTCCTTAGAAGTAGTATAATAGTGCCTAATAACCCTCGTAAGATCTAGTCCTCTTAGCTTGTATTGTAAGCTACTCAAAATGCTTAAGACAGCTAAATGTCTCCTAAAATTGAACAGAATCTTCTCGCGAAGTGTCAAAGCTACAAACTTTCAACGAATCGTTGGAAGAATTCACAAAACTTCATTCAATTCACTCTAATAAAATTTTACGGAATTATTATTACCTGGATTATTTTCTGCATCTGCCGTTAGTTTGAGGAAGCGTTTCTTAAATGCCACATCCAAGGTTCCAATTTGTCGTCGAGGTTGTCGCGCCTTCTCCAAGTTCTGTATAGTCTTGCGTCGTGCTATGCGATCGGGACCAGAGCCCGAATCATTATCATAATCTCCATCAATGCCTTGCAAACGTTGCAAATTTTTTACGATTTCCACAGCGTGCTGGTAACAAAAGAATTGTGAGAAATATACGTAGAATTGTTGTACTAAGCCCACCCACACTTACCTTATCTATTAACTGATCCTGCGTTAGATCTTCGGATTTTTTCTTACAGAAATTCAGCTCAGTTGAGGCCAGAATGTGGGAGAGGGTGCCGAAACGATGGAATAACATAGCCGTAAATTGTATGACCAAAATTAGGGCAAAGAAGAAGACAAACACAAGACCTATAGGTTCCAATTGAAGATATTCCTTGGAGATGTGCACCTGTTGTGGATATGGTTGAGATAGAGACATTAATTAGAGCTCAGCATAATGGTATTCATTTAGATTAGTGACATTCAACACTTTTGGGTAAATGGGTAGACTCGTAGTACCAATTGTCTGTGGTAGTGCTATATATTATGTGTGAACGTTCGTATGTGTGGGTGCTTGTACACCTGATTGGAGTGAGTTAAAACGAGTATGCCGGGATCAAACCGAAGAGCAATGAGACATGCATTGAATTTATTGACTCTAGTCTGGGTTTAGGAACTTGTTTGCATGTTTTTTATGTTTATGTAGTAGATGAGGCTTTTTAGACCTTGCTCAAAGGCTCATGCCCTCTGTGTATATGGTTGTGAGATGTTATTGTATTCTAGTTGTTGCTTGTATATGATACATTTTTGGTGGTACCTGAACCATTAGGATGGGTTTTCAACGAGAAAGAACGTTTTATATAAACACAGAAACATAGTAAATTAGAGACATCCAGTAACAAGAGCTGTGTGTGTGTGGCGTGACGTGAGAGGGAAGGAGTAGGAGTAGCACATTAGCCACAGCGAGTATTAGAGAGAAAAATATACATATAGAGAGAAAAGGATAAAGAGAGTTTGGGATACTTTGGTAATGAGTTAAAGTGTGAGGGGAGGAGGATCAAGAGCAGCAAATTAGCCACAAGGATTATATAAGAGATAGTGAAAGAGAGAAATATGGAGGGGTTGGAATACTTTGGGAAGATGTTATGGCAGGAGTAGGGGCAGCACATTAGCCACAAAAATTGTTATTGGGGAAAGAGTACGAATGAGAGAGGGAGGTTGAATAAGATTGGTAACAAGTTATTAAAAACTATTGGGACCGTATGGATAATGGGAACAGATAAGACACACACACATACACAGGCACAGAAAAAACAGGTTGGTGGTAGTAGTAGAATTTTTTGTAAAACAAAATATAATTGTAGTATAAACCTCAGATGTTTCTTCAATATAGGTTATGTTCGTTTTGACGCCGAGGGGCCAAACGATATGCAATTTATCCTTGTTCAGTTGCAACAAGAAGACAATCAATACGAATAAGGCGTTGGCCATGAAAAATGCGAAGACCGACTTATTGCGCAGCTCAATCAGATCGGCGGCAATGCGTGCCTTGTGAGTGGAACGTTCGATCGATCGTATACACAGATATATATATATATATATTTTTTTTTTCATTTTTATATTCACATTCAATTCATTCAATTTTGTTGATCAAAACAAATGGGAAAAATATAAGAAGAGAAAAGAAAAAAACAAAAAGCAATATATTAGTACATTCTGATACTTTGGCAATTACCTCTTGGGTGGTTTCATCATAGGTTATGTTCGTGCGCACACCAAATGGCCACTTCACGTGCAAGTTATCCTTGTTCAATTGCAAAAGGAACACAATTAAGACGAACAGTGCATTGAGCATGAAAAAAGCGAACACCGAGGAGTCGCGCAGTTCTTTGAGATCTTTAGCTATACGTGCCTATATGGGGCAATATGGATTAGAGACCACTCGCTGGTATTTGGCAACAACAGCAAGATAAAACTATATAGAGGTTTTTGCTTCCACTTACCTGTTCGACGGGATCATTATCGATGGGATACAAATACTTGTCTATGAGGTCCTTCCAGAACTGTATTTCGGAGCTTGACAAAAAGTCGACTTCACCCTTGCGTACATCGGGATCCTCTATCCAATAGGGGTTGGTTAGGAAGTCACGCTCCTGCTTGGGCTCAGCGGACGTATCTGAATCGGATTCATCGGACTCATCACCCGACTTCTCGGCCACAGAGCTCAGCAAGTGGTGATCCTTAGAGCCGCTGGATGTGGTACGACGACGTCCATGACGTGTATGATGCCCATGGGGATCCACAGCGCTCTCTATGCTATCTATGCGCTGTTTAATGGTGTCCAAAGATTCGGCAATGGTATTGAGTTGTTGCTTCTCGTCTGTGGTCTTGCCATGCGTGCAAAAAATGCATCGGAAGAGACCGGCCAGTGAGAACTCCACAGAACCTTCCTCGTCCGCATTGTCTCCAATGTTGCCCTGCAGGAAACCCAACATGCTCTTCTGCTTCACATGTTTCTTCGCCTCCTCCGCTGCTTTTTTCTCCGCCTCGAGCTCCTTTTTCGTTTTCTTGGCCACCACTTCGCGTGTTCCCCACGAGACCACATTCAAGTTTATAATCGAGTAAAGAATGAGCAGCAAGTACATAGATGGGATCGACAGCAAATAAATTAAGCCGCATGTTATACACCAGAACTCCTGTGGATGCAAACATGCGGCTATAAAGAATGAGCCCGTCATGGATATTAAGAAGATCGCCGATGGCGACCCGATGCCGTCCTCGCCCAGCTGCAAGGCCGTACCCACAATGACAGCCATCATGATCAGTGCATATGCCGTCGAGAGGACTTGCGCCACGAATAGCTGTATATTTGATTTGCAGGTGAAACAAACAAACATAAAGGCCAATATCGGTACAATGTTGTAGTGGAAGGAGGTCCAGTTGTCGATGCGGAAGGCGGCCACAAAAGCGCCCACCAACATAAGAAATATAGTGCCCGGTCCCAGAATAGTGCCACCCATCAACATCATCTGATAGAAGATGTAGAGCAGTGAAATATTATCGTTGATCTTGATTGTACGTTTCGCATCGCCCAGCAGATCCATAATATTCGCAATGGTCGAAGGCACCCAGCGACGTCGCTGATTATAGAACTCGTTGAAGCCCTCTGGACAATGGGTGTAAGCATCCGACGCGGCCGAATACTCCACACGATAGCCACGCTGAAGTAGCAGCGTACAGAGCCAACGATCTTCACCCTGATCGTACTGGACATAGTGCCGTGCCTCGTCTGAACGTGTCGTATACTTCTTCATCACATTGTCGTCCATTAGCGCTTTACCACGGAAGAGTGAGAAGCATCCGGGACTACAGAGTACGCAACCGATCATGTGCTCGGTGGCTTTTTGCAGCCAATGGCCAATTGCGTATTCGAACAGTTGATACCATACCATGGGACCGGAGCCTACGGGATGAATGCGTCCACAGGCAGCGCCCAAATTCTTGTTCTTCTTCATCAAATCGACCAGCAGTGTGACAGCATTGGGCTTGAAATCAATATCTCCATCCAGGGTAAGTAAATATGTGTTCTCTGCTATGGCATCCTTGCGATCCACCGAAATTGGCAGCTCCATTAATCGATGTCCGAGCAAATAGTACATATACATGACCTGAGACCAACGCTTGCGATGACGAATGCGATCCTTGTCCTTCAGATGGGTAATGAATTTTGTTTTGCCGGGCAGTGTCCAAACCAAGCGACCGCCATAAGGTGTGGGATATTTTTTAGGTGGTCGCAAACGAATAGTGGTCTGATGTATCTCAGAGGCGGCCTCATCCATGGTGGCAATCAGTAACTTAACAAAGCGATTGCATTGAATATCGTCGTCGCTGTGATCCGATATTTCAAAGGCGTCGTCGAAGAAGATGTGGGCTGCAAGATATTATTAAATGTGAAATACGTTAAATGTTGACTTTGAAGAACTTACTCTCGAACTCGTAGTAGTCGGGATCGAGAACTCGCAGATACTTTTGAGCCACTCGTCTGGCACACTGATCCTCGTCCATGCGCATAATACTTTTCAAGAACTCAATCATTTCGTCTTTAGTTTCATGCCACATGGTTGCGCAGGAAAAGATGCGTGTTATATTATCGGAAGACTTGATTGAGGGTTTGTGGGGTGCTGTGGATCGGTCGGTGTGCACCGATATTGTTTCATAATACTCATCACCCTTTTCTTTCTCAATTTCCGAGAGGTCCTACGAAGATTGTGGGAGATACAGTTTAGATTGTGAAATAAAATTCGTATGAATAGTTTCCACTCACTTCGGTTTTTACATCCGCCTGATCGTCACGTCTTCTATTCAGGGCCATCGACTGATCAATCAGAAGCGCCGAGTACATGGGGCGCACAAACAATTTCTCTGTGGTGGCCAAACGTTCGCATTTCGGCATCCAAATATGCAATGCAATCCAAGTCTGACTCAACAGCCATAGCAGCCAGGCCCAGGCCATTTGCTCAGTGACAAAATTATGGAATCTAAAGTTCGAGGGACTTGTAAAGAACAGATAGTCCGGTATACTGTCGTGGAAGAAGCATGGATCATCAATACGTATGCCGCAGGCGGTAATTAGCAGGGAGACGGAAATCGGCACTGTTAGACTAACAGGGAAGGCATAGCTGAAGCCCTGTATGAGAATCTTGCAGGCAAACTTTCCAAAAATATAGCACAAATAGGCGCCAAAGATCTGCAGCAACAACACATAAATTACCGAGCTATGGGCTGCGTCCACATCCACGGTGTCGATGTTGGCCGCCTCCAGGGTATCTGGAAGGACGCCCCCTAGACCCGGTGGCAGCTCATACACAATAATCTTGTGCGGTCCAAAGGCATCGCCATACATGCTGAATAAGTTACCGGGCTCGTCGCCCTGCGCCCAATAGATGAGTAGCGTTAGGCAGAAGAACAACAGGATCTTCCAAATCGAAATGAACATATGTGAGAAGTAACGTGTATATTTCATCTCCTCCTTGATGCGTCCCAAGGCGCGTATCAGGCCCACTGGCGACTGCGCTGAGACATAGTTCTCCCACCAGCCGCAGGAAATCATGACGCAGGCTACGGGTATAACCCACAATTCCCGTCGATTCTCCAGCAGTGGCCAAATAACCAGACCTGTTATTTGAGCAGCAATCGCTGCCATATCGATGATGGCTTTCACAAAACGCTTGCCCTCCTTCGCGGTGCGCGAAAACAGCCCAAAGATGCCCGGCACCACACACAAACAATTGGTCAGCATAGCGCCCTGTATGGCATCGATTTGCGGCAACACTACAAACATTAGCAGGGCAGTGCCCAGAGCGCTGAAGGTCTCCATGAGCCACACAAACAGAAAGTGACCCTTCTTGGGCACCTTGAAAGTCTTGAAGAAACAGATACGCGCCGATCGTATAAGTGAACCGATCTCGGGCAGCGCATACGCAATCATCAATGCCCAAATCCAGGCTATGCGCTCCTCCTCGGGCAGGCTAACCACAAATGTTTTGTCGCGACCCTATCAAATAATTGCATTTTTTTGTTATAAAATCCATTGTAAAATGAAAGGTTACTTACCAAATCCTTATTACAATATTCAATTTTTCTATCTTTACGTATTTGTGACGTCATGAATAGCACACAGCCTTTGGCTATGACCCCACCGGTTAAAACTATAATAAACGTAAATATATAGGCAAAGATCTTCAAGATCTTGATAGTTAATTCTAAACACTCCTGGTTGGCTGTCGAGCCAGTTTCAATTTTAATGGGTGGATCTCGGAATACATCCCAGCCTTTTGTTTCCTGTATGGTGCGTTGGCTGCAAACACAATAAACAAAATGTATATTAGAAGTTTGGCAATTTATATATTATTTATAATTAATATCAGTTTTAAACAAAATTTACTAACTTTATCTTATTTTCGTTTCTTATTTGTAATTTATTCTAATTTTTTTACATTTTAAGCTCTTGTTTTTAGTCCAGCTTTAAGATCTCTTTTTAATATACACGCATGTCCACACAGAAATTAAAAAATAAAAACTTATTTTTTAAAATTAAATAAAGTGTATATTTCTTTGAATAAATATGTATGTACTTTAATATTTAATTAAAAAGACAAAGCTCTTTTAACAGAAAATAATGATCAAACTGTTTGGATAGCAGATATTTCTTTATTAAATTGTTCATTAAAAAACGTAAGGTTATTAAGGTGATTTAAGAAAACTTTAAAATTATATGATCGACTGTCTCTATTCCTGATGTTTGATCATTCAAAAAGTACCAACTCGTCTAATCAAAAACGTGGCGTAGAAGGATTTCATATACGTCCTTGAAAATGTATCAGAGCCTGGTGCTAAAATCATATACATGAGTACGAGTAGTGATAATATATACAAGTATTTTGTGGGATTGGCCAATCGTGTATAACTCGTAATTAGTGTAATGACAGTGAAACGTGGCCAACGAACTACTTAGCTGGTCTTGCCACACGCTTCCGGCATTTTATGTGGCACTGACATAACTCTTTAAAGCCCCGCTTTAGTTTAAAGTGCAAATGCCAGTGGTTGGTGAGCGCCACTCCCAGCATCGGCATCGGCATCGGCTTCAGCAACACATCGAAAGTGATTGTGAAACAATGTGCTAGACCAGGTGTGGGAATAATAATTAGTGGACAACTGCAGACAATGGTGTTGGTTAAATGAATCTAGTTCCGGTTCCGCTATGCCAGAGCCAGCACAATTTTGGCCAGACTTAGGGCAGACGATCGAAACGGCCGACTGATGCACTCAGAGAAATACATTTCAAATTTTCAAATATTTCTAAAGCTCTAGAGTTAAGGATTACGTTTCTAAAAAGGAATACAGTTATATAGATATGTACAGAATATGTACAATACAATTTGAAAACTGTAGGGACAATCTTTTGAGTGCACATTTCCAGCTTCTCAGGCAACAATTTGCATAAATTTCAGCATGTTTCTAAAAAGGAAAACACTTGGTTTTTTAGAATATGCCTTTCATTTTACTTGTTGTTTTAAAGGGCGATACAATTTGAAATCTTTAGGGACAATCTTTTTTTTCTGAGTGCACATTAATAACTCCTTGACAGGTAGTTACATTATTTCCAGCTTCTCAGGCAACAATTTGCATAAATTTTCTAGACAAGCAACTAATAACAACTAATAGTAAGTACGACTATGTGTGTGTGTTTGTGTGTGTGTTGGGATGCAACCACACAGCAACAACAAGAAGAGCCACATACCTGCCGCCATAAATATCGTGTGTCAGTGGCGTACTCTCGTCGTCGGTGAAGTTGTCATCGCTATCGCCGTGCTCCCCGCCCGGGGCTGGCGGTGCCATCGGCCGATGCCGCACCGCAGACATCTCCCACGGTTGTGTTGGTGGTTGTTGGTGTTGTTGTTAGACGTGGCGGCCAGCCAGCAACCAGCAATCGGAGCCGCCGCAGTCGAGAAAAATTGTAGCTAGAGCCGCAATGCTGCAACGAGTGGAAAAAAAGAAGAAATAATGTAGATTTCTACACATTTCGATGTCTTCTGGCTCAGATAATTGTGAGCCGGTTTTAATGGAAAAATTTATAGTTGTGCGCGCATTTCTGCAACTCGTTCGTGGCAACCCGCACGCATGGTGCCCATATTCAAGGACATGCGTCCTTTGACTTGACAATGGACCGGTTTATATGCGTGGCTTAAGTTATTTTAAACCTTGAAAGCGCTTAAAGTTACAATCGCAGACAGCTGTCGAGCATAATTAATGATTCACGCACAATGGCAGCAGATAAATAATCAAGAGATTAACTTGTTGGCATATTTATTAAAGGTATGTCTTCATATACATATGTACTATAGTCGCATGTTTGTGTGGACTGAAGAAAACTTTTCCATTTCATTTGGCTTTCATTAAACTCCCATAGAAAAGCCACAAACCTGCCTCACCCATTAACATAAATCTCCCAGCCCTTTCGTCACCTGCCACCACTTTTGACGCGCTCCTCACTTTCACTCCCAACTAGCCGCCGCTAATTTTCGCCAAATATGCGTACCCATATGATAATGAAGTTATTTTAGAAACTGTTTTAAACCAAGTCATGCCATGCTGACTTTCAAGACAAAAGACTATTTATTTTTCGCAAGACGAAGGGAAAATACTCTATAAATCTAATTAATTGTCATAGCTTTGAACAGTGCTCTTGATTGCGAGTGAAAAGCTTTTCAATTGTTTTAGGCCAATTCGAAAAGTTCCATTTCCTTTGCCAGAGAAAAAGTATAGAAATTGGAAACAGTGTGGGTTGAATTTGACTTTCTCGTATCTGCCATATTTCCAAGTGAAAAGTATTTCAATTATTTTAAACTAATTCAAATCGTTTCTTAACAAATATTCTTTGACAGCGGATTATTGGAGTTCACTTCAAAAATAATTTAAGTATCCAACAATTTCAGATTTATAATAAATATAAATAGAAGCTGTATATTAAACATCTTTAGTTTATTTTTAAATTCAGGGACAAGAAGCAAAACAGTACATACTGAACAAAGTATTGTTTTGTAGAAATTATAACAATACTATAATTCCCATTGGCACTATAACTACACCAATTTAATTAAATGTTTAATTAAATTTGTTTATAGATATTTAATAGAGAATTGCTTTAATCAGCATTAGCATGAAATATCAATTATCAACAATTATTCTAATGATTACTCAGCACTCTTTATTACTGAATAGTTTGGTATCCAAAACAGATTACAAATATAAATATTTTTTGTAATAATGACGCTTGTTATTAATTTGCGCAGCTAATGAATCAATTAAGATTTTGCTTGTGTTTTTTTAATTGGGAGCTTAATAACGATAACAAAAAGTAATATCCCAAATTCGTAGTAGAGTATTACCAAAATAATTTTCAAATAGTGAGAATGAGATAATTATCAAGCAATTATTCACTGTCTACAAAAATTCGAGTATCTAGAGAGCTAATAATAATTTTGAAAGTGAAAAGCATAATTTTTTGTCACAATTTAGTATTTCATTTCATGTATGTCTCATTCCTAGCAAAGTATTCACAATCATATTTCAAAAGAGTGAGAATACGACACATTCTGACGCAAGAAATCTGATGCATTTGGTTGTGAATTTTATTTAGTTAGTTAAAGCTCCGTACAATTCAAGTAAAAGTGAAATGCATTGGATAAGTATTGAACTTAAATGAGGAATACTTTTTAGTGGTTTATTTATTCAAATTGTGAAGGCGCACATAATTAATTCAAAATGCATAGCAAAGTATTAGCAACCAATTAAGCAAGAGTATGTGTATATACTGTATACTTCTTATACATATGTCTTCAAGCAACGTAAGACGCAAGCGCAACAGACGCGCGTTGGACACGCCTCAGTTGTTCCACATGTGGCAGTTGGTCGCTTTGGCGGTACGGAACTGGCAGACTACCGTTGCTCTAGGTATTATGGTAATTAAGTTTGCAAGTGTTATTGTTCTGCTATAAAACAAAAAGACCTTGTGCCACATTCTAAGCGGACACAAACATAGGTATTGGAGAGGCAACAGTGGCAGCAGCAGCAGCAGCAGCAGCGGGCAAAGAACTCTGCTGCTTTTCCAATATGTGAAGATGGGAACCATATACTGCGAGTATATATCTATGCATATGTATAGTATATTGCAATTGCGATGCAATATGATTTCCACATATTTTTGCAAATTTCAGGCATCGTTGCACCCCTGGAACCTGTCCAACGATTAGCTCTTTGAGTTGTTATAGCTTAAGTATTGCACATGATTTATGTAAGTATATAATGCTTGGTATACTATACTTATAATACTTTTCAATTTCGTTGTGAACATACTATACTCTACACACACACACACACTATAAAAGAATTGTAGCTTTCCCCTGCTGCTCCTAACAGTTTCATTGACAGCTGCTAAAACGACTGGCACTGGCCGCTCGACCCTGCGCCATTTTAGAAGCTCTCACTGCAACTGAACTATGTCGTGGAACTTCGAGCATATCGTAGTAGGACTCGGTGGCTATTTCGTCGGGGGCGTCATGGAAGATGTCCATTTGAGATGGCGTGCAAAGCTCTTGAGACTTGGCCGAAACCATCGATGGAGTGCTGGACTTGCTGCGCGACATCTGCGAAAGTTTAGCCTTCACCTTAGCGCAGAGATCGATGGGTGGCACTATATAGCTGCTAAGGATGGGCTTCTGCAGGACACGTGCTCCCTGCTGTCGCTGGTGCTCTTGCCATGTTGTGGACTGTGTTCGGGAATAGGCAGTTTTAAGCGAGCTGGAGGAGGTAGGAGCTGGCGCCCTGATGTTCAATTGTTTTGGTTTTTGTGGCTCATAGACAGCTCGTTGGCGTTTAGTCTGATTGTTCGGACGTTGTGTATGCCGATTACTTGGAGGAGCATGGCTAGCACTGCGAGGCTTCCAGGTAGTGGGCAGTGTGGGCGTTGCTGGTGAAACGGGAGGGGATCTACGTTGCTTATCCGGTTCGGATTGCGGTCGTTCTGGTGACATCGAGGGTGTGCGGTGCACATAGCTCAAGTGTAGCTCCTTCATCAATCGGAAGCGTTCTCTCTCGTAGTTATCCTTGAGTTGTTCCATTTTCTTGAGTTGCTGCAACTTGGACTGTTGCTCCTTCAGTCGTATCGTCTCCCGCCGCAATCGCTTACCAATCTCCACCTCGGCCATGATGCACTTCAGCAATCGCTCCATTTTCACATTATACTGATCATCGCTCAGTTCGCCATTTTCCGCGGCCTTAGGGCTATTCGTGGGCGTCTTAATGATGCGAAATCGAGCGTTCACCACATCATCTGGCTTGATTTGAGTTTTGATGAGCACCGGACCGAGTGAGATGCCACCGGCCTTGCACACCTCATTGCTACTCAGCTCCACAACGTCATAGTTGTTTGTGCGAGCGGTTGGCGATCTGGCTTGGGCTTGGGACCGGCCTGTGGGCTTGGAGGGCTGAGCTGAGGGTTTGGCGTTACGGCACACAGCCGACATTGGGACTATGTATCTGTGTGTGTTTGGGCGCTGGTATGCGTGTAAACTGAAATTAATTGGAATTTACCGAGTTGTGTGTAATTTTGAGCCAAAATAACGTAGTTGCTTTGCTTCAAATGAACAAATTGTTTTTTTTTTTAAACAAAAGCTGGACTTGCCGGCTCAAAAAGTTGGCTGGCCTTTTTCAAAAAACACAGTGCTTTAGAAATGAAGCCAAAGTGCTTGAAAGAAAGATAATCTATTGGATGGTAGAAGAAATTTATTTCAAATTCATAATTCGTTAAAAATGTTTAAAGTAAACATGATTCCTCTGCTAAAACGCTAGTGGCGAAACTTGTAGGATTTTGCTGTTAAATTTAACAGCCCCGGCAAAACCCTAGGGATGCTGGGCGCATAGCTGAAGGTGTGGATTCTGCGCAGAACGCAACGTGTCTCACACACTAACACACACACAAACACACTCATACACACACACATTCACTCAAAAAAAAAACACACACACACACTCGCACAACAACAATAACGAATGCCAAGGCTTTAGAGAGAAAGTAAAATATTAGTTCATTGTCCGCTCAACCCCCAAGTGATGCACACCCTCAATGTTTACAGGGTGGTTGTTGTGTGTCCTTATGGCAGGATGCTCTAAATGTCTCTTTTTTGCTACCTTCTGTGTTAAATGTGTGTGTGAGCGTGTGTGTGTGCGCGCACATAACGCACTTTTGTAACTTAAATGCCCGCATTTATGCTTGCTGTGCAAAAGGACCGTGTGGCCTAATGGATAAGGCGTCGGACTTCGAATCGAAACCTAGAAGACATCCGAAGATTGCAGGTTCGAGTCCTGTCACGGTCGCAGCCTATGATATATTTTTTGTAATTTTTACAATTTTTATTATTATTTGTATTTAAATATTTCTACCCCTCTTTTGTAGTTATAAGTTAAATATTGCACAAGTTCTTCTTTTCTTTTTGAAATAATTTTATAAAATAATTAATGTTTCAATGCTATATCTATATGCAAATTTAAAAAAATATATTGCATGCCTTATTAGATGAAAGAATTAATGAAGGAGGAAGCTTCTGAAGACCTGACTTGGCTTGTGTATACATTAATATTCTAACAATCTTAAATTGTTTTATATGTGATGCCTAAATCCATTGCACTAATCTGCCATATTATAAATTAATTAGTTAATTTGTCTGATTATTCAAGCGATGAACCAGAATAATATTTCAAGTAGAGAAATTAATAAATTAAATTAGTTAGATTACATTTAATTTAGAGTAGGTATCTAGAAATTCAGAATATAGTTAAGGTATCCCTTAACCAATAAATGTTGAGGGAAAAATATTAAATTTACTTCGAATGTGCTTTACCGTATTTCGCAGCGTTTGTCTTTTCAATTTAAAATAAATGAGTATTGGAAATCCAGCTTTGTTTTTAATTTAATTTTAAATAAAAATATATCTAAGGAATTTTTTCTATGAGAATGCTGATCTTGACTATTTAAAGAAATATTTGTAAATGGTATTTAAATACTTTTCAAAAAAAGTAAGAAAGTTTTGAAGCGAACACTACTCTTAACTTTTTACAGGAATTTAATGAATTTAATTTGTTAACATATTTGCTCATTGCTTAACCTTACAAAACACGGCCTTTATTAAAGATTTGCTTTGTTGCTTTCTTCCCCTTTTGTTATATATATTTCTTAAATTTTAAAAGTATTTTGCGATTGTACATTGAGCTTTTTTAAGGAATCCGCTTTCGAGACATTTGTGGAAATTATATTTTCAGAATTATTTATTTCTATTATTTACGCTTCAAACTATTTTAAAAACAATTATATTTTATTTTATTTCTTTTAGCACCTTTAGCAGTAAATATCTTTTTCAGCTTTACAATGGAACTGGAGTTTAGAAATATTGTAATTATTAAAAGTTGTGAAGATTTTAAGTTTCGTAGACTAGTTAAGCTTATTTCTTTGCACAACAGTTGAAAAAGTCTTTACTTCAAAATTTAGAATATGTAGTTAGTCAGGCGCCAAAGTCCGAAACTGTTTTGAATTGAAATGTGCAGTCATTATACTCGTATACTATATATCTTGGAATTACCTTAGACTGTTTGGCATTTATTTACTTTATAATTTTTTATTAGCTCATTTGCTTCAATTAAATTATTGCCGCAGCATAATAATTTAACTCCTTGTTTATTTGAATTTTATTTTATGTGACACTGTCTTTGTCATTTCGAAATAGAACTCCTCATTCAAAATATAAAATCGTTTGCCCCTTCGGCTTGTCAATCATGTTTTCAATTTAACACAAATCCAAACTAAACTTGTTTTGGCTTCGAATTGAAATTTAAAATCAATTTTTTATATTGCACATGTATGTATGTGCTGTTGATGGTGATGGTGGAGTTTATATATAAATATGCATTTCGACAACAACAACAAAATTAACCATTGACAGTTGGCGATTTGTTGTCGTTGTCGTTGCGTTTGGCTTGGATTGGTTTGGCTTGAATGTTGGTTCCATCGCCCGTTGGTCGCTGGTTGTTGTTTGTTGTTGTTGTTCATATTTCTGATCATTTCTTTAAATGTCAGACGGTCAAATAATTGTATTCCATTTGCTGTCTTTCAGTGCTATTTGTGCTGGCTGCGGTTCTCATGCGTTCATACTTAAGTGCTGGTATTAAAAAAAGACAGTTCAGCAAAGAATTTAAAAAAAAAACTTCTGTTGATAATTATTATATATGACCGCGTTAAATTTTGTAAAGACGCGAATATAATGCATTTTTTAAAAGCAGGCACAATGCACATACTTACTACCTTTATGGCCAAAGTGTAATGAGTTCTATAACATTGTTTATAAGTAGCTCTACTTTTAATAATTTAGTAAAAGTTTTTTAATTTTCCCATAAACTGTGTAGATTTGTAACTTTTGATGCATATGTAGAAAATATATTAAGTGAATTTGTATTTACTTTTATTTGAATTTTTTTAATTTAATTTTTTTTTTTAAATTTTATTGATGCAATTTATTTTGTTGGCATAGTAAATTAATTTTTTTTTATATTTGTTTATAATTTTATTCATATTTATTTACTGCATAGTATATTCTTTAGACCCGATAATAAAACAGTCGGCTTAGCTGGCAGTTAATTGATAAATAAATTAATAAAAGAACGATAACCAAACCTGATCATTGTTCTGCTCACCATTGACACACACCATGAGAAATCATAAATTCTTCGGCTTCCGGCTAAATATTTACCTTAATATGACTAATATTACTAATTGGGTGTTTAAATATATATTTTTAGCAAACGTAAAACCAACATTTTGTGACAGGCACGGTGAATTTGGGGTAAGGTTCTTTTTATTTTATTTGCTGTGCTAATTACATTTTTATGTGCATTTTGTGATTGTTAGCTTCATAAGTATATTAATGGTGTGTTTATGCAATTTTTGACGAATATCTTTTTGGAGCGTAATTAAATGGTTCTATAAACATTATTTGAATGAATTACAAACAAAATTATACACCTTTTTAAAAATTTATAGATGAAAAAAAAATAAACGAAAAGTAATACTCTGCAGTGTGAAAAAATACTTTCAATAATTTGTTGGCTGATAAATCGTTTAAAAAATGGTTAAACTTAAAGGCAACAAGAGACGCAGGACGTTAGAAACTGACTGATTTATTAACAAATTTAAAGTTTTAAAAAATACATTTAATAATCTGTAATGTTGATAAATCGTTTCAATTGAATCAAATTGCATTTGCTCAACCATTTAAGTTGAGTCATATAAAACATATATTGAACACAGAATATCTGTTCCTAATTAATTTTAACAATATACACACGTTTATATATATATATCGTTTTTTATCTACAACCTCAAAAAGCAAAAGAGCTCCTTTTAATAAAACTAATAAAAATTCATAGCCATATGTATAATAAATTCGCAAATAAGAGTCATGTAGTACTATATACATGCTGATTGGTAATGGCTTTGATAAAATCAGACTTGAAATATCTTACTTAAGATCGACTTATTAAAGAGTAAACTCATTCGTGTAAGCTGACAAATAACAGTTAACAGCCCACAATAGTCATGAAAAATGCCCAAACATGAAGAAACGTGCCTTCCATACAAATGTTGACCTCAGCGTCGAAAATTCAAGTTGAGATCGGACGGAAAGTCTGAAAATTGGCCTCGGTAACAATGCGAAACTAATTACGCATGCAGGCCAACGCACCTCCAAATTACAGTAAAGCCGCAAATAGAAAGATTCAAGACTCCAGTGGGGAAGGATTATAGTTCAAGTTGTGGAAAAAGACAGCAAGTTATAGATCAGTTTGGTGTGTCTTTCTGATAAGCGACCGGTTCTTGGGTAACAGGAAAACAAAAACATAAAAACATATAAAACTCGAGCTTGTTGGCCATGTGCACGATATGTTGGTTGGCGAGTCGGTTAGGGGCAGGGCGGCGCCTCTAGATCCAAAACTGGTAACAACAATTGGACAGCTGCGGGCGGTTTTTTTCTTTCATTTTGATTTTTTCTTAACTTAAAAAATTGCTTCAGTTTTGTGGGGTCGCATACAGCCGGAGTTGGCGATTTGGTATAAAAACGTTTTTTTTTTTTTATTTTTATTGTTGTTGTAATAATCACATTAACGCCTTGGAAAGGCGTATGTGGCATGAGTCAATTGCTATTGTTGTGTTGGCGAACTTTAAAGTGTTATACATCAATCAGGCCAAAGTGAATGGATTGGGGGCCACAATTAGTTATGGGCCTCAAGATAATGGTTGAAACAAATTTTTGTCTTTTGCGCAACTGCAAATGTTATAATACAAGTAGTATAGTATGTATGTATCCGACATAGTTGCATGTTATTTTTGGCATAGCATCGAACGATTTTCCCCCTCCTCTTGTGCACATAAGCCAGCCGGGCACCATTCCAGTTAACCAAAAGAGGCAGCCCATAATTAAAACCCGCGCACAGCCAGTCAGCTCTACAGCTAGAGCAAACGTCAAAAAAAGTGAAAGTAAAATACTTGTAAGATACATTTTACAAAAGCAAAAAAATAACATAGT